AGGGACAATGGAGGAGGAAGATGGGACATGGCAGAGGGTGGGGATGGGGAACCTAGGATGGCAAAACAAAAGGCAAGGTATGCAGGACACAAAAATTGGGAAATCATTTGCTGAGAACATATATGTTGATGTGCTTGATTGAGCCAATGCACAGTGTATTTTGGATGGAAGATTCATATGTGTGTTGTGATGAGAAAAGAAAAAAAAAAAAGAATCAGTCGATTGGACTGAAATATCTGGTGTACAGAGGGACAAGGGAGGAATGAGGCGGCCGTAAGTAGTTAAGAGACCACTATAGGACACTTCGAAGCTACATAGAGAAGCAGATGATTAATGAGGAGGGGATAGACACACCTCTGCGCTTTTGGGTTTCCCTTCAGGAAGGCTGCATTCTAACGAGAGTGTAGACAGACTTAGAGTCTGGAAGCTCGAGGCAGGGAATGATGGTAATAAACTGGCAGAGTCGTGATTAGAATAGTTTGTATGAGAATATGAAGAAATGACCAAAGAGGACCGGCAGAGGGCATAATGTTACGTCGCTGGACTCCCATGTTGTCGACCACAGTTCTAGTCCAGAACGCAGCAACTTAAAACTCATGCCAGGTGCATGTGCGTGCATGCCCGAAGTCCCAGGAAAAGAATGGAGGAAAAGGGATGGCCATCCCCCTGGGAGAATAATAAAAAGTGACAGAAGGATCACTTTTTCAGAATATAAGAACTAATAGTGGTCTTGGGAGAAACAACAAAAACAATTAATATTTCTAGTCTGGAAAACTGGAAGAATGATACTGCCATTACAAAGTCTAGCTTGGTAAGAAGAAAGTGCTGGTTTTTCATACTCATCCAACACAAATATAATTGCTCCCCCGCCAAGGTCCAGGCACTGTAACAGGCAATAGGAATGCAGAGATAAACAACAGAGACAAGACCCAATCTCACAAGCTCACATTCTGGTGAAGATGACATACTTTTATGATAAGTAAGCAGATGTATGCATGAAGTAATGTTATATAGTGGTAAGTCGGTGAGAGACTGAAGTAAATAATAGTACCGTAAGATGGGGAAGTGAGAACGGGAACCGGGGAAGTGGAAGGGAATCATCTCTTAAAAAGGTGATTACAGTTGGGCCAAGAAGTAGAAGGAGGACACTTCAATAGGACAGGAGGTTCGTGCTTGTTGTGAATAGCAAGTTGTAAAACTTATACTTAGTAACGTACCCTTGTTATTTATTTATTTCCTCCATGAAAGAGACACAGTCAGAGAGAAAAACAAACAAGAGAGAGAGAGAGAGAGAGAGGCACTCCCAACAGAGTCCTCATGGCATGAACCCCCTCTCAGCTGGCCCAAATCATGGCCGTGCGTGCACACCCAGTGTGACCAGGAAGGCCCTGGGAAACAAACTCAGGACCTCTTCTTTGGGGGCTAAGTTATATTACATTGGACCATGAGGGGGGATAACATTCCTTTCTTTCCTTTATTTTTCTCTTTTTAAAGTTTTTAGCCATAGCATACATGCAGTTGCCAGAGAGGGGAGAGGCAGAGACAGAGAGAGGAAAAGTGAGAAATCATGGTCCAGGCAGGATGGCCATGCTGCAATCCATTCTCTGCCGATCTCCTCTAAGGATCTGGGGCATACACGCACATGTACCCAGCATGATCTTGAAGCCACCAGGTCTGGAACGCGGACTGCAGTCTGCCATGTGGAAATCAGCCCCCTTAACCACCACACTGCCTGCCCATACCACCTGCTGGCTCTTACATAATGTACTCTCTCTCTCTTTTGTGTGTGTGTGTGTGTGTGTGTGTGTGTGTGTGAAAGAGATATTTTTGCTATAGGGTGCCTGTGCTCACTGGAAAGAGAGATAGAAAGTGAGAAATAGCCCCCAGAGGGGATGGCTACACTGCAATCCCTTCTCCTCCACTCTCCTCTTAGGATTTTGGGCACACATGTGCGTGCACACACACACATACACAGAGAGGCTCAGTGTGAAGTTTAAGCCACTGTGTCCCAGATTTGAACCATGCAGACTATGTGGGAGTCCAGTGACTTAGCTATTGTGCCATCAGCTGGCCCCATAATGTGCTTTTTAGTGGCATTATTACCCCTCCACATTTCTAAGCCAGATAGAGGGATGACAGAAAGATTAGAAAATGAGGGGGAGAAGCGGAGGGCACTAGATCAAACTGGACTTAGATTAGCCCAAGTTCAATGGAGGGTTCTTACATAGGAGAAAGAAAAGCTCTAACAACGTGCATGAGTCTGTTTGTCTGTCTGTCTGTTTGTTCTTAAACACTCTTTTGCTCCTTGTGGAAAGGGTAAGGACAGAAATCAACGAGTCAGCTGGGAAGCTGACAGATTACGACAGACTGGAGTATGGCTGCTTGAATCAGCACAGCGATCAAGACCAAGAGAACGAGGTCCTAGAACTCATGGGTGGGGTCCATAGGACCTGAAAGAAAAGACGAAGATGGCTTCCGAGATCTGGAGTGAGCAACCCATTAGAGAGTGGGAAAACAAAACAACTCGAAAGCAACAGAGATGAGGTGATGGAGAGATGGAGATGGGCAGGCCAAGAATCAGAGTTTGGGGACCAACAGATGGCATAATGGCTATGTTGCTGGACTCCCACGTAGTTGACCACGGTTCGAGTCCCGGGCACATGTGTGTGCGTGCCCCGGATCCCGAGAGGAGAATGGAGGAGAAAGGATTGTGGTGTGGCCATCCCCCCTGGAGGGTGATTTCTCACTTTCTGTCTCTCTGGCTCTCTCTGTCTGTCTGGCAAGCGCACGCGCCCTATAGCAAAAACCTCTCCAAAGGAAAAAAAAAAAAGAAAAAGAACAAAAGTCAAGAATCAGAATTTGGCTTTGGATTTGTAAACTTTGGGAGCATTGATCTGGGTGTTAGAGAGAAAGCTGATGAATTCGACGTTTTTCTTTATCTGCTTTAATGTAATAATTACACAATATATGTAATAAGTTATATATAAGTAAACATGGAGGTGAAGTGTAAAGTACAATAATGAAAAGAATTACTCACGAAACATCACATCCCAAGAAAAAGCTATCTACCTAAGGAGTCTCCCTACTCATTCATCTTTTTTCTTTCCAGAAAGAAATATTAACTTGAATTTTCTGTTTCTCACTTTCCTTCTTTCAAAGTAACCATTGATATTATATATGTATGTATCTGTAAGTATACATTCTTTACTTTGCTAAATTGTGAGCATTAAAAATAAAAATTAGGGGTTGGTCTCTTCAATGTCAGTGTACTTAAGTAGAGGCTTATCAGTTTTCTGTTTATCCAAACCCTGTTCTCAGTTAGAGCAACTCCCCATCCACCACCTCCTTCCCTGACTCCTTGGCATCTTCTGTACAATACCGTCACACAGGACAGGTTGGAGAGTGACAGGTGAGAGAGTGCAGGGCACAACAACCTTCCTACTTACAAAAATCATTCAACTGAAATCCAGCAAACGTGAGCCCTGTATACGATTCTCAAGGAAGGAAATCCAAACACAGTCTCAGCTTTAGGTAAGAAAAACACAGACAAGTCCTGGTTTCTACGTAGCAGAATCACTTGCTAGTTTGCAGAGGCTGCCTGGAAGTACTTGACATGCATTCGCAGCAATTGGTAACCACCGAAATGAAACTAAGTGAATTCCGAATGTTGGGTTCGGGTGTATTTCAGGATGATGAGTAAGATAGCAATTCTTAGACCTTCTAGGGTAAACTTCAAGGACAGCATCATTGTAATTTTGAAGTGTTCTAAAAGACCTTTTAAATTAATAATACAATCAGGTAAGAAGTAAACAAAAAAGAATTTGGAAGTTTTGAAAAGCAGAACTAATAAGCTTGATTTATAAACACATAGAGAACTTTGGGCTTGACAGAAAACCTGTATTCCTCTCAGTAAATATGGGGTATGTGTGACAGGGAGGGGCTCATTGAACCAGGGATATTTTACGTATTCAGCCCTTTCTTTTTAAAGGTTATCAGACTAATAGGTATTTTACCCTGTCTTGATCTAAATGTAAAATTACTTCCTCTGGGTTTTTGTAGTAAATACAAGTTTAATAACTATTTACTGGAAGCCATATGATTTCAAACAGCAAATCTCTGCATATACGAGTGCAATTTGATATATATTGTTTTCCGGAGAAATGACAAGACGTTTTTACCTTGAACCAAAGTGATATTTCTCAACGTCTCTGAATGTTCCCAGTCCTTCAGCCTGAGATCATTGGTGATGTTATTCAGTACTTTCACTTCTCCCTTTATTTCCTGTTCCAAACGCACTTGTTCTTCTTTCAGAGACGCAATTTCTGCTGAAGCATTGTGGACACGTGCCTCTAATTTACCGATTGCCTATGAGACACAAGCGGGCACCCGTAACTTTGGTTATTACAGTTAGCAACATGGAAATTCGACGAACCTGGGGGGTTGGGGGGATTAGGTTCTAAAACACACACACTACCTCAGGAACTTTTTAGAAGGAAAAATGCGGAAACCAGAAAGCTGCTTTACAATCGCAATGGTGCGGTTGCGAAACATTTCCTTTTTCAACTGAGTGGCTGAACTTGCACATCCCCGGCATCCTCACCAAAAAACCCAAGTGATATCTGAGGTAGGCTTCTACTCCCAAATATGTAGTTGTCAAATGATAAAATAAAATACAAAAGCCTGTGGGACCAGCAGTTACCATAATGGCTATGTTGCTGGACTCCCATGAGGTCGACAGCAGTTCGAATCCCGGACCCGGTGGCTGAAAACTCACACCAGGTGCGTGTGCATGCGTGCCCAAGATCCCGAGAGGAGAATGGAGGAGAAGGGATTGCGGTGTGGCCATCCCCACTGGGAGGTGATCTCTTGCTTTTTGTCTCTCTGTCTCTCTGGTAAGCACATGCACCCTATAGCAAAAACCTCTCAGAAAAACAAAAAAGTTTGTCTAAAGTGAAATTCCTTTTCTGGTACTTAGACTGTCAACATATTACAATCCTGCACATTTGATAGAGTTATATGTGAAATTATTTTATAGCGATAATCCAAGTTTATTGCCATAACTCTCAGTGGTAATGAACATTAAAGGTAGATGTTCACATTCAATCAAACCTCAGACTAGCATACTAACAGTATTTTACTTTCAATTGTTAAATTCTCTATATTTGAGATGTCATCATTATCTCATTGTCAAATACATATTTTGCATGTATTCATATATATGAATACATATATGATGAGACTTCAAAAGGTTTGATT